CATTTCTCTTAGTACCTGGACATGAGGAAATTCCTCGCTTGCGAGCAAGGTTCCAAGTCCATGAACAGGAAGGAGGAGGACACTTCTGTAGTTACAATTTCTAGAAGAAGGGCGCTCCTCGGTTTCATGGCTGCTGCATAGGCGACAGTAATCTTCCGCTGCATACTCTGATCGCATTACCCTGCTTATAGCTCATAGCTTTGGGTGAGCGTCACAATTCCCCGCTTTTGCAGGTACCCTTTCGCCACCCGCCGGGACCTAATTTGCTCCACATTTCCAAGACCGTCCCATTTAATCTTGTAATTTGGCACTTCATGGGACCCAGCTTAATACCCCTTCCGATTTTTCGACGAGCTTCCAACTCCCATTTTTTAACAAAGACCGCATTTCCTCCACATGTCACGTACGCGGATCTGCCTGCGTCAAACTCCGCCAAGTTGGCGCAGTGTCAGCGCGGTACCACCGCAGGACCAGTTCATTTATTGTCGTACGGTACCATGAATTTTCGGGGTCGTACCATGATGACTACGGGTTGGTACCACGGTGCTGGTACACTCGAACTGCAGTAGCATCGTACTAGTAGTGCACAAGAAATTAGGGTTCCGAGCAGCGAGCTTAGAGTTGGCAAGCAGACATGGCTTTCAAGCGGCAAAATCGGTTTGGAAAATCAAAACAATGGCTGCGGCAGGCGCTGCTTCCTCATTCACGCCGCTCTTCAAGAAGTTGCAAGCAACATTTGTTGACAATCTTGAATGCAAAGAAGCCTTTATTTGGGCTTGAGAAAATCTTTCAAGGTGCTTTTTCAGCAATTCAAATTTGCAAGCCCCTCAAGACGTTTCTGTATCTCCCCCTTTTTATGCTGGAAGTTGCGTGGAGCTGCTCTCTTAGCTCTCTCAGCTCATCTTTTATGGTGGAGCTCAACACAGACATTCCGACACACAGCCACGTCCAGCTTCCCAGCTGGATCTGTGATTTGTACCGGCTAGACTGTACCTACCTACCTAGTGTTCGCTGGAGTTGCGGGCCGCTCTTGCGTGCCGATGGAGCCCTCACACGAGCCGTAGATGAGCAGACCATTGGATGCTACGAACGGTTGCCAGGTCCCAGCAGGCCTCGGACTGGTCCGTTGATCCGGATTTCAAATTGTAAAACTGTACTAGTAGGTACGGATTACGGTACCGTAGGTACTACTGGTACTGTACAGCGTTCAAACTACGGTATGACCACTGATCACACTCCGATCCTACCTAGGTACCTACCTGGATGTACCGGTACCTACGAAACCAACTTGGTACCTGGGCCGAAACTCTTAGTCTACGGTACCTAGCTACCGTACGCTAGGTAGGTAAATTGTACCAGGTACCTAGGTACCTACTTTTGGACCTACGGCAGGCTGTTGGTGGTGCTTTCGACCGGGCACTTTCTACATGCAAACGGAGAACTACAAAACGCCCGGGAAGTTGAATTTCTTCGGGCCGGGGACACCTGTAGCTCTGCAGAGCCCGAATGTCTCCAAAGAACCACCGAGATTTGCGGATCTCTACGGAGTTTCGAGGAACTTCCGTGCGACCAACACGGTGAGTCTGGGAGACTGTGCACTGATTTTGTTGAAACGAGTGCGGTCCCGACGGGCGGAATTTTGTGGTTTGTGTACATGGTACACGGCGGTACCATGCATGGACCGGGGTTGCAGTGTACTGACACTGCAGTACCACCGCGGTAGAACTGCGCCAAACTCCATGAAATTTCACGGTCTCGAATCCGCGTACGTGACATGTGTCGTCCATCAATATTCTTCATAGAATACTCTATTCTACTTTAACGGCTTCTTGATAGATCTGCGATTTTGGTGCTCCCCTTTTCCTCGCTTTAGGATGCTCCCCGGCCTTCGGTTCCGCCCGCTAAGTTAGCGCGGTACCACTCCCGCGGTGCGCGTCATTCCTCTTGGTGGCCGGTGTTTGCATCCCGGCATCCTCTTCTATCTCTTCCGGCTAGGCCCATTCTTCGCGCACAATCTCAACCTTCCCTCATTTTGGAAGCGCGCATGTCAGGCGCGCGCTCGGCCGCGGCGGTTAAATTGCGGTGAGATTCTACTTTGGGCCCTTCTGGACCTCCGTAATCTATGCGGCGTGACCCTCTGCCGTTTGGAACCGTACGTCACCGGACATTTATGGTGCAACCTTGCCGTAGGTCGAATACCGCGGCAATACTACGGTACTCCGAAGGTAAACCGGCCAAAAACCGACGGGTTCGACCAATATCGACTGCCGAGCGTCGGTCTGAAAGTGGTTCCGTCTGGGTGGGACCTAGGTACAAAAATTGCTGATCGACTCGTGGTATCGAGCCGCGCGACCTGAACTTCGGCTACTGTCCGGTACCTAGCTATCTGTGCCAAATTGTGGTACCCAGTGACATGGTACGGTACCGCCGTACAAACTAATGTAGCATAGATTTGAAACGCCGCGACAATCGTCGATACATAGACCTGTGCTCTAATTGGCGATAGCCACCCCATAAGCAAACACGTGGCAGAAGTACAAATTTACCGTCCAGCTCTAAGGAAAAAAGGCCTTGTACATAGAATTGGCGTCATGCACAGCTCCCTTCTTTGCCCTTATTGGCCTTATCTAGACAAGGCCTTTTCCCTGGAATAAGAAGGGGAAGAAGGGTAAAGGAGAAGCTATGGCGCTTTTACACCACAATTTGAAAGCAAGCGCCGTGGCTTCTTGTCACCTATTAGGAGGAGTTTTTACGACTTTTAGCTTCGAGCAACTTGGGAATCGTTTCATAAAGCATGAAACAGCATGTGGGTCAGAGGAGGGCTTTGCCGAAGCTTTCTTCATGTAGATCAAAACGTTTAAACGCGTTTTGAAGTTACACTAATCATACCTAGGGTCCGCAGGTCATACCTAGGTAATCGTCAAATTTTCCTAGGTTTTACTTGGGTACTGGCATGGCATTCTTTCTAGGAACCTCCGGCCGGCAGGTTTGAAACCTACCGAATACTTGCCGGAAACCGGCGGCGGACCGACTAAAGTTACGTATTATCTATATTATCTAGGTCGTATCGGGAGATAATTCGGCCTGTACCTAGGTACGGAAGTCGCCCGATAAATGTCCCGTGACTTAAAATCGGAGCCAAGCTCGACAACCCGGTCTCCCCGATCCCCTCGTGTTAGAATTCGGTGATTATAGTCAGCCGAATTACTATGTGATTAGGATTCGACCCGTGTAAGTATTGGCTAGTGAGCGCCGGCGTGCGTGCACAGCGGTCAGGCGGTTAAACCGTTAGGCGGTTTGGAGGTTAGGCGGTTGAGAGCGGCCGTCAGTGTAAGCCGTAGATGAGGATATCGAAGGCTAAAATTGAGTGTGACTGTGAGCTAGGCTAGTGAGCCTAGTAGTGTGTGACTTAGGCTAGTGAGCCTAGTAGGCTTGTGAGCCTAGTGGAACGGGAGAGTCCCGTAAGACTGATAGTGGTGGAACCACTAATGTGATACATCATTCTC